ACACACACACACACACACACACACACACACACACACACCAGGGCCAGTTTCCCCAGAAGCCAATTAACCTACCAGTATGTTTTTGGACTGTGAGTGGAAACCGAAACATCTGAAGGCAACCCACACAAACATGGAGGGATCATACAAGCTCCACGCACATACTGTAGTCTGGAAACGAACACAGTACATCAAATGTTCCCCCAACATGCATTTCAGGCAGAAAAGCTGCATGAGAGGATTTCTGAAAAACACAGAGTTGACACCAGTTGACAATACCTTTAAACAGTTTCAGAGCTAAAAGCAAATAAAAAAAATGTCAGACATTTGAAGCATCTGTGAAAAGCCTGTTATTAAGAACTTGACAGAAACAAAATCCAGATGGTCCAGATGACCAGGGTAGGGAACCACTGTTTTAGGCAATGTGGGGTATCAATAAAAATATATATTTTTGGATATAGAGTTAAAAGTAAAATTTAAATCAAGAGATATGTTACATCCAAACAATGAACTTGTTTTAAATTATTTACAATATTGTGTACAAGTTTGGATTCCAAAAATATATTTTTGCTCAGAAACAAGTTCAGTAAATGTGACCATACCCATTCATAGGTTTACCTACCAGTGTTGATGAAGCTGATACTCTGGCTTCTCTCAAGAAAAGGTTGTCATGGGAGAGATCCTCAGAACAATTAACTAATGGCACCTACAATAGGGCTCAAAAGCTTCCTCTTGCTTACAACGTTTCTTGTGTTTTCATTACACATGCAATAAGTTACACTGGTTTTGCTCACATGCTGTTGTATTAAGAAAACAAAAATACCATTGCTGCACAGTGCACAAGAACTTCCATGTTTTAAAACTAAAAATGGTTCTTGGTTTCACTTTTTTCTATCCCAATGATCATCTAAATTATGGTTTTCCTGAAATAATCGCATCATCTGCCCTTCACTCCGATCAAGGGCTCACTTGGTAACTTAATTTAACCAGTTATTGTCTTAATTAGTTAATATTATTGTGATCTCTAACTGTTGGTAAATAACATCTGTAAAACATGAAGATCAGGACCATGGGTGGAGACCATAAGTATAAATTATCCTTGGAGATAAGATGCAAAATACCTAGGTTTCTTGTATGTTTGTATTCTGCATGTCTTTTCATGTATACTGATTGCATCAGCCTCTGAAAAATGCTGCTTTAAAAATCTTTATTCAGAAGTTGCAGCTTAGCAGAAAGATGGAAGAAGAAATAGATGAAGCAGTGTTGTATAAAGGCAGCTTTTTCCTTGACATAATAGTTGTTTTCTTATTATAAGCAAAAGGGCTATGTGGGTGTAAATTATTATTACTGTTAATTTTAATAGAATAATTATCTATATATAAATTTTATGTGAAATGACATTGTGGATTTGACATATAGTAGGAACATAAACATTGGGTAAGGCCAAAAAATCCAACAGAGCCAACAAAAATGAAAAGAAACAGAACTGAGAGTGAACATGAGTATTGAAATCTCCCAAAAGTAAAATCCTGTTATATTATGGGCATAAAAATGAAGAAATGGCAGGCCATATACTGCTGGGAACTGAATAAATCAACATAAACTTCATGTCTTTGTCATTCCCTCTTGCCAACATTTCAGTAGTCCCTGAAACATTAAATTACATTCTAAAACAGTTCTACTATCATTTGAAGTTTTAATGCATACCATACACTTATTTCTGACTCAGGTAATCAGTTTGGCAGAATCTAAATCCCAAACCTGTATGATATATGTATACCTCAGTAACAAGGTCTGATCAGCCAAAGATGTATTGTCTTACAGTAATATAAGATAACCATAGGTTTATTTCTGCCTAAAAACAGATTTGGTTGTCAACATACTGTACATTTAAATGGGGAGAACATTTACAAACATAAAAAATAAAACTTTCTTTAAGTCTTTATCATTAAAAAGCATTAAAAATGGTCTTAAAATGTGTCTTTAGGAAACAATAAACTTTCCATTTATTACCTAAATGTATCTTGATATACAGTACATATTAAGGAATGTACAAGATTTTTGCAATTGTTATATAAAAAGTCTTATATTTCTTTTTTACAGAACAATCATGAAGTAAAAAAATCTATACCTTTGTAAAGGCATCGGAGACCTTGTTTAATGTCTTATTCTGTTAACATCCAGTATAAATTATCTGATCTCTCAACAGATGGGATTCACTTGCGAAAACAGGAAATGTCGGAGACAAAACAACACGATTAGCAGCTGCAGAATGATTTACATTCACCTTTGTCAAAAGATTGACATATCTCTGGCAGCTAAAAGTTTCAACCTAATGTCTAGAAAAATGCACAATGTTTTAATTATTGTAACAATAAACTCGAAATTACACATTTTAAATTTTGCTAAAAACTTTAAAATTAAATTTAAATATACATCTACCAGCTTTTAAATGTGAAGCCACTAGATGTATGTTCAATGTCAATGCATCATAAAGTCATTTAAAAAAGAATTTTATGAAAAAAACAATCTACTGTAGAAAATTTGAGGATATCATTTTTACAGACAGGTTATAATAAAGAAAATAATTGGATAATTCTGGGCAAAGCGTTAAAAGACAGTATTAAACTAGAATTTACAAAACCATTTTTTGCAACATTACATCTTTAAAAATAATAGATTTTGTTTAAAAGCACTTAAACAGCATTATACATTAATAATACTGTAATTATTAATGTAGTTAATGCATAATTTTCACAGCTGCTGTCTGTGATAGATTTGAATTCCATGATCATGGAGCTCCACAGAAGAAGGCTCTATCAATCATTAAAGCACAATAAAATGACTTGACTCAGCAAATCACATCTAAACTGCTGGACTATACTCAGCAACAAATCCTTGAAAAAATCTGGAACTAGATCACTTACAGTATATGTAGTCAGGAAAACATTAAAATACTCCCTACATTTTGTAGGCAGGTCATGCAATTTACACAAGAGAGAACTGATATGCCAAGAAAGAGTAGTGTTAGTTGGCCATCGTGCATGTGCATCGTGCATGTTTGGTACAATTTGGAAAATTTAAACACACCAGAGGACACAAGTTGGAAATGATACCCTGTTTTCTTTCAGAATAGAAGAACAGGGTGAGTTTCTTGCATCTATTAGAAATCAATCTAGCTAGATGAACGAATGGAGCCCATCTTGTTTGTTACGTTTCTTGAGTTCTTATTATAGCAGATAAATAAGGGAGGCATTTCACTAGTCTATCCTTAATGAATACAGACATGTATCAATTTTTCTTTTAAATTATGGATATATTTTTTCTTTAAGCACCGTGAAAACTTTGGACAAAATGCTGCCAAGATAAAGTATTAGTTGTTGTTCATCAAGAGAATAAATGAATGGAGTGTTACATTGAAAAGGAGTAATTTCACTCTTTGCTGCACTTGTAGTAGACACTTTGAAACACTATATTATTAACACTGAAACAACATAATTCACCACATAAAATACAGTCATGACTCCTGTGAAAATGAACTATAAGTATGTTGTACATTGTCCTTGGTAAGGGTGACTGAGTAACAAATAAATAGTAATATTGGCTGATATTATCACAACCTGAGTCAAAGAGCACATGGTTTAAAATGTAAAATTCAATAGAATCACTTTAGGAAGGACAATATTATTATGATGCCTTTTTTGATGTACACTGCTTTTAAATTGAACAGCGTAACTGAAGCCCATATTGAATATATTGAATATTTTCTTTAACCTGTGTGTATAAAATGTTGATTGTTTTAAAAGAGGGTGGTATTTTACCACCCTAATTAGAATGCATGTTAAAAACTATAAAATCAGATCTCCAGGTAACAGACAAGACACTTCCACTTTACCTCCAACCAGAGAACACAAATGGAAACATTTAAAGTGCATTTAAAATCAAGAACAGGAAGCACAAAGGGTTGTAGGGGTCTGGAACAAGATCATCTGCTATGCTGTTGAAGCTGATTATCTGGTTTCCTTCAAGAAACATCTAGAGATACTGTATTCTGATCTTTTTGCTATTAGTAAACAAGCTCCTTCCTCTTGGAACTGGTTTTGTGTTCTTTTGTTACAATATTCAACTTTTTGTGATCAATCTTTCAGAGTAAAAAATATAAAAAGACCCCAAAGATTCTGTGTTTGTAAGATTTGATATTATATTACTGTTTGCCTTCAAATATATTGCCTTATAATGCTTTGAATAAGGTCAAATCAAGTATCATACAAAAAAGGCACTATTAACATTTTTAGTTTTTTTCTTTTTGCTTAAATTTGTGTGCTTTCTCACCCTTAGCAAATATGCAGGTAGTGCTTTTTCTCTTTTGCTTGTTTTCTGATACCCAGTGGTGAAAGTTAACACCAAACAACGACTAAACTGTTGTTAATCCACTTATAAGGAAAGGTTGCTCTTTATGTCTTTTTTTGTGTTTTCCAGTCTGCTGTTAAGTACAACACATCATTGAGAAAACCCATGGGTGGTAGTAGAGTATTTCATTTCAGATCAATGCCAAAAGTAGGATCTTTGAATGCATATATTATATATAATTCAAAGGCTAACAGAAAATCAAAATTGTACACATAAAGCATATAGATTCATACATGTCAAACATGTCTTTTTAAAAACATGTCTATAGTTATTTGTTGAAAATATGTGAGAAGTGAGATATCCTCTTGAATAGTGCAAGTGAAAGAAACACGAGCAATCCATATCTCTGTGATTTCAACAAACCAGATCATGAACCATTTCGAGCAGAACAGGAAGTCATTCATCATTTTCAACAGAATCAACAAAAAGAGTAAGGTCTTATAAGAGATGGAAATGAAAGAAGAGTGCAAAGGTGAAGCAAGAGAATGCACATGATAGAATTGGTTTCCCTAAATGCAAGGAGACCAGTTCCATGTTCTTCGTTGGCAGTGTGTGTGAAGTACCGTATGAAGTGGAATGACACTTATTTAGTCATTCTAACCAAAAGCTTGAAGAAAAATGGGAAATTAACCGCAAATGTGTTACTATGTGACAAAGAAACTTGTCATATAGTAACTGCAATAAATTCACAGCTACCAAGAATATGACAAAATTGGTTATCAACAGGTTGATCACCAAAGGCTCTCCTGTGAAGGTGACAGGCTTGTGCTGTGCCTGACCACTGTACAGCAATACAAGCTATACTGTACATCTAGACCACATGGTTTGCTTCTAGGTTACTGTCATATTCATCTCATAGAGCCTGTACAAGCAGGTGCCAAAATCTATTTATCAATATTCAAAATTCATCCACCCATCATTTTCAACTGCTTTAGCCAATACGGGGTGGTGAGGAGCTTTAACCCACCCTAGGAAGGAACAGGCACAAGGATGCCAGTCCATTGCAGGGCACACAGAGACTCACACACACATCAGGTCCAATTTTTACAGAAGCCAATTATCCTACCAGCATATCTTTGGACTGTGGGAGAAAACCAGAGATTGAAAATTCACATACTTTATTTTGCTATAGCAGATATAGTGTAAATATAAAGCATGAGTAGTTGCTCATCAGGAGAATAAAGGAATAATGAAAAAAACTAGGTTAACACATGGAGTTTTACCTTGAAAATAGTTACTTTTATTGTGTTTTCTGCATCTGCAGGATAACAAACTCCATGTGTCAAACTGAGTAATAGGTTTAATTTGTTGCTCTGTAGACATTCACATCTGAGAGATATAAATTAACAGCATTATGATTATTAGTTCAGGTGGGTAGCTGCGTCAGCATGCGTTGTCTGCAAAGGAAAAAAATAATAGGTTTATTCCATGCTAAAAAGAGAAGACAGAAAACACAACGTTTCGTCTGTGAAGCCTTCTTCAGGTGTGATATTCCCGGCACAGTTCCAGACTTTTATAATAATCATTATCATTACATAACAAAAAATTAAAAAGCAGAATTTTAAAAGTAACAGAATTTTTTGTGGTTGTGTTTTGAAAATACGAATTTAGGCATTTTATTAAAGTTATCCTGTCGTTATTTAGATAAAAACGTGAACTGCATTAAGGCAAAACCAGTGCTTTATCAATTTTCAAGGTAGCTCTCTGTCGATCTCTAGTGGTGTAAGGGGGGATTTAGATTTATTGTACAGTTACCTTTGAAATGTGTGGTGATCAACAAAGAACATAAGAACATAAATAAAATATTTATTTTTGATATATTCTTAGTGTAGTTTGTATTCTTGATCTGCTACCATATTTTGGAAGTTGCATTTTGTAACTGATTAAAAAAAACATGATCATGCAAATGGTTGAAAGTCATATAGTATTTCTTACAAATAAATTGTTTCTGGTTGCTGTTAACTTATTAATTTAACTAAGGGAATTTCTAAAGATTATAGAGTGTTATCTAAAAGTACAAGACCTGCAACCATTACTCTTTATGTACAATACATATAAATTATATGTGTATTGTTCAATAAAAACTGAAAATAAAAAAGATATATCGAAAAGAAAACTGCCTGCTGCCATGATTTTAAGTAAAAATTACTAATAATAAGTATATACAGTAAATTTTAATACAAATATTAAAATATACTGTATATAATTTTAAAGTGTATTGATAGTAACAATGAAAATACAAGGAACTACAGTATGTGGATACTGTAAACAGAAACATATGAAAATACATATACAAGTTAATAATTAGTTGTCTTTGTGGACCACAAAAGTCAACTAAAATATAGATATTATTTAGTTCATAAAAACTACAGATTACAAACAGCATGCCATTCAGCCCATTTGCAGTAGCTCGTTTGGTTGCTAACAGCTAATTGGTCTGGGGATCTCTGGAAACCGGCTTTGACAACACGGCTGGGTAACTTCTTTTAGATTCCCAGAACCCTTTGTGTACAAAAAGTGCTTCCTGTTAATTTTAAATGCATACTAATAATTTCCATCTGTGGCATTTGGTACATGATTCACTGTGGATTCCAGAGGAGCCCCCTGAGTTGAATTTGTTGACTTGAATAGTCAGATCAGGTTCCCTCACAGTTTTCTCTTATTAAATACATTTAGTTCTTTTAGCATGACTGATTAGCACATTCCTATTAACCTGGGTATATTTATTATCTAGAAAGTTTTTTTCAATATTATAAGATCAGACAACTCCATAATACTTTTAACAAGAAAATGTAGCTTTCTAAAATTACTCTCTATGACTATTTTTCATTGGATTTTACCAGAGGAGTTACAGTAAATGACATCTTCATATGAGAGAAAAGCATGTAGTAGTAGTGTACAATAATAATAATAATTGCTTACACTTATATAGCGCTTTTCTGGACACTCCACTCAAAGTGCTTTACAGGTAATGGGGACTCCCCTCCACCACCACCAATGTGCAGCATCCAGTACAAGTACTGTTATTCCCGGCATAGTTCCAGTCTTTAAGCATATAGTAATATTGCTTTTATTGTTTACTTATTTCCTATACAAACAAATACCTTGCCTCCTCTCATCTGTAACCCTTATTATGTTCTTGATAATTAAAGATTGATAAAAACAACTTTCTAAATGGAAAGTGTATTTGTAAATCATCGCATTGCAAGAGGTGTGAATAATCTTTTCACATTGAAAACACACACAGGATGCCTAATCCCTTGTCAGTGGCAATTATTGACCATCTGTGTTCAAGACTCCCTAATACTTTTAAAGTAGATGTGCTTGTAGATCTCCAAGACTAAAGTAGATCTGTCCTCACTATAGTCTTTAATAAATCTAAGATAGCAATTCGTTCCTCTTTATGATCTAGTAGTGGCTTCAGAAATACTGAAACCAAATGTTTTATTAGTCTTAAACCCCTTTTTTGTCTCAATCGTGACAGAAAAACACATGAGAAAAAAGTATGCACGTACTGTAGATGCTTCTATGGAGACATTCACTTTTAATTTCTAAGTTTCCAAGAACGGCAGTGCATCAAATAAGGTTTAATCTCTGTGACAAACAGTCCATGTAAACACATTCAATCTATTTATACTGTATATATACAGTACTGTATATATGCAGAGAAAGACAGGTAAAGAGGCAGAGAGAGTTTTAACATTCTGACCGTCGTTGTGCTTTAAGAATTCTTAACATATTTTGATGATGTAATGAAGACTGACTGGCTTTGCAAAAACAATATGTTTATGTATGGACCCATAGCAAGATCATGTCTTGTGGAGAAGAACATTACACCTACTCTCATCATATGTAGGTAATGGTGTGTGGTATCCAGCCCCCTTCACCACTGGGACCAGACAGGTACTGAACCCAAGACTCTGGTGATATCAATGCCATTCGCTAACCACCTGAGCCACTTGTAATAGTCATAAAATCTTTGAAAGACTTTCCATTGTTTACCATAATGGAAAATTAATGTGTTAATAGCTTCATCTCCATGTAAGATAAAGCTCCATGTTTTCATGTTTAAAATGTGATTCCTTTATTATATGCTGCTGTCTTTAACATATTGACATATGGTTAAGATTCCTCAAAAATGTTTTTCTTTTAAAAATGTAATATTTCAGTTTGTGCACCTTGATATTCCATGCTGTTTTGTCACTGACACAGTTCTAACAGTTTTAACTTGCTCTTCTGTTAGAATTTCCTAGCTGGTAGCTGCTCTGACATGGTCGTTCTCGAAAGGCATTGTCATTATTCAGTGTGTTAATTCTTAGCTTGGCTTCTCGGTTTAACCTCCCTTTCAGCTGTCAGTTATCCTGTCCTGGAAATGCACTCTAAGCCCTTTCTGCTGGAGGAACTTAATTCTCTGAAAATACACAGCTCTTACAGACGCTCTTGTTTGAAAACCAGTGTCTATGTGAAGGACTTTAAAAGTTAGGCATGAGAAGGGCATTGCAGTGGATAGTCATAAGGAGCACACTGGGAATTTTAAGAATCTGAACATCTCTTACCGGTAAGTAATTATTTTATTTATTTATCTTCATTTTATTTTTTTATCTTTTATATTCTTCTTGTCTGTGAATCAATGTACTGTTTGTGTATGTTTATGTATATAGAAAATACGTTACTTCAGAGTTTAACATTCTTATCTCAAGGTTCCATTGACTTTCATTGACTAACATATGAACTTTGTGTCATTTAAAATGTGTATGTATTTTAAAATTACGTGTTTCTGAATGTATCTATAACTTTTTACAGGTAATTGCACTTCGCTATCTCTTTTAACATACTGTAGGACATACAGGTTGTTTTTTCATTATATCTTAAAAAATATTCTAGCACATAGAAATTGAATTTAAATTCTGATTTTGTTGTTGTTTGCTTTTGTTGTAGAAATTGCTGTATTTTCCTAATTAACTGATCTTCTTTCCACAGTCTGTTTTCATACTGTAAAATAGTAGAGGTGTGTATGGTATATTTGACCGCAGGTGAAACTGGTGCTGACTCCGATGGAATCAAGTCAAATCCTTTTTAGAAAAGTTTGATCTTGTCTGTGCTGAGGCCGATGATGCTATTTGATTTACTACTGGATTATTTGGGTGTAGGGGTGGCTGGGGTAATGGGAGGCCCAGCAGGAGTAGACTGTAGAGCCTAAGATGTCTTCTGGGTGAGCATCAGTGCTGTGAAATTTAGAGGTCAAGAGGAGTAAGACAGGAATGCTCTTATTTAAACTTTTTTAATTGTGATGGTTCACGAGTACTATATCATTAAGACCTGTTAATAACAATATTAGTAATTTCTGGAATTATCTGAATTATCCCTTTATAATTTGTGTCATTTTGAGTAAAGAGTTCAGCAATAATTGAACAGCTTGTCATGACAACCAGATTAGAAGCCAATGTTGCCTGGCACAACATAACAAAGAAGAAGGGGGGAAAAGCATTTCAGGGTATACGGTATTTGTGTATCTTAGCGAGCTTATAATGCATCCCAGTGTGAAGCTTCAATTTATATCTCATTCAGTGTATTCAAATCATAATGATTATATGTTGAGGTCCTTCGCAGAATAGTCACAAAATTAGTGCATTCACATCATGGATAAAAAACAAACCTGTTTTATGGCAGTTTGATGAACAGATACTGGGCTGCTCAGTTAATGATGAACTAATTGCATGTTACATAACCTTTTCAATTAGTTTTGTGTTAATGAGTTGGGGTTTTTCATCAAAAAAAAATAAAGAAAAGAGACATCTTGCCAGCATAAAATATTGCACTGCCAATAGGCTCCTTCGGCTCAGTCCCAGTGATTTCCAAATATTTGTAGTCAAAATACGCAGTGCACTTACTGTATGCTGTGCACAAAGCAAAAACCATAGCACATCCAAAGAATAAATTGCAGAAAGTTCAAACACATAAACTTGAAATGAGGTTATTTGTTACATTTCCTGAGTAAGTTTTCAAAACCCAATATCCAATCAACAAACATAAAAATATGTAAACACACCATAGTCTGAAGGAGGTAGTGGTGAATCAATGTTAATTAGATCTCATTACTGGTACAACAGTCTGAGCCCACCCTCAGACACAGACAGACATTCACAAACATGCACAAAAGCTGTCCTATGTGGGTGGCAGTTTCCTGTGTGCTCAAAATGTGTGTCAACATGCATAGCACAACCAGGTTCATGAACGATAGGAGAAGAGGCTGAACCAAATTCTGTCATAATCCTCTTTATCCATCTGATTACCTCAGTGGGTCAGGGGCCTGCATCCTGTGTCATATTAAACTCTAATTATGACACTAATCCTTAGGGCTAAGACAGCAAAGTGGAAACAGTTACTTTATTAAATGTGAACAGCCTTTGCTATGTAATGCAACTCCACAACAAAGCACTAAGCAAATTATAGACTATTTGTTTATCATTTTGATGTTACTTCATCATACCAATTTGTATTCAAAATATCAAAGTCCAACTCTATTGTACTCTAAATTCCCTTAAAACAACTCATTTATCTAAGTATTAGAAGTATGTGAAGTATTAGGAAACAATTATGTAATACACATCACAGTTAAATAAAACATTAAACAAAAAATATAGCTCTTTAAGTTGCTTTTGTATAGTATATTAATATTGAAGACTATGCTCATGCTTCAATATTGAGAGCCTTTTCAATATTCACAAATCATTACAGATTGAGTGCTTGTTCAGTATATTAACCATATAATGTGTGTTAAACAAACCACTTTCCTCCACTCAACCTTACATTATTTGTGGATTATGTATCCTGTACATGTCCACCTCTTAATAGTATTACAGATTACCCTGGGAGAACGCTTTGTATCTAAGATCCTGTCATGCAGTTATTCAGTTGGGATTTTTCTGGGACATTTGCCAAATCTAGACAAAGCAGACATACTTTCACATTTTTCATGTAAAGTAAACTCTTATGTAGCAGCTAAAAGTTTCAGACCATCACTTGTGAAGACACAGTTATAAGTCTCTTATTAACACATTAAACAGACATGAATTTCACAGTAGATTTATTCTTTATATTCTGAATAGTGTACAATAACCACAAACAGAAGAAACATTTAATTATATATTCCAATGAACTACAGAGGATATTTCCTCTGTGCACAGAATGAATTATGGACAGAATCATAAATGAAGCTTAGTTTGAGATTATATTTAACAAAAACTTTAAATGGACTTTTTTTTGGCTTTTTCAGTTATGAATTGAAAATGATAACATCATACAAACTGTTTAATGATAAATGCTGTATTTTCTAGAAAGGAAAGTTACATTCTTAGGAAATGATAAAGTGAAACCTTCTGTCTTGGGTTGCAAATGTTGTCATCTACCAATACTATACAAAAATAAGAGTTACTGGAATTGCATATGAATTACCATATAGAAAATATCTACTTGAACATTGTTCATTATAAAATGATGTGAAACGTTTCTTTTTATTCTTTCAGATTTAATGTTAGGTAGTATTTGTAATAATGGCAAATGAGTAATCAAAATATGAATGCTATCAGAACTGAAAAACGTATTTTACAGAATATCTGTAATATCTGTAGAGTGAAGCAGCTGGTAATGTTAGCACCTCCTTGTCTCAAGAATGTTTGGAAAGGATTTATAGTGGAAGCAAATGCGTACACAGTGACCTCATCTAGAGCATAAAGTTTCTGCTTTGATCCTCTTAAAAGCTTGAGGGTCAAATGCCCTCCAATTAGGTTGAAATCTCATAGAAACACCAAGCACACTTTTAACCTTTGTGACTTTTCGATTTTCAGTGACATCTGGTATTTCAGCTTAAGCTCAAGTTGCTCAATAGTTGTAATTGTTATCCATTTACCTGTGACAAAGATCATGGTGTCGTGTTACAGTTATTTAAAAATCAAGAAAGGTTTGACCTAACAAGGAAATAACGATCACTGTATGGCCAATACACATTTGTTTATGGTACCAGTGATTCAAGCCTTCATATAATTATGTTTTAGTAAATATAAATAAATAAATGTGGTGGAAATCCTGTAAGATATTACACTGGAGTCACAGAAACCCAGTCAAAGATCAAAGCAGAGGATTCACGTTTCATCAGTACTACCTAAAAGAAAAGCTCATCCTGTTTAATTTATCTGTTACACTGAGGTCTCAAGTGTACCCAAATCGTCTTCAAATCTTGTCTTTTGGCACTGTAGTTATATTGTCTGTTTGAAATGTATATTGTATATAAGCTGGACTGGGCACTGATGTTCTGGGTTCATCTGATAGATGTGTCTTAGAACAGCATTTCAGAGGGGACGTCCCACCACATACGGTACATGCATACAAGAATAAATCACCTTGACAAGCCCTGCACTAGGCAAGGGAATGGCAGAGACAGACTCAGAGGCACACTGTAATTAAGGATATACAAAAGCTGAATCGTTGAATTAGCATACAATTATATTTGGCTTTCTTAACTAATCAGAATGTGGGGATTTACAACAAAGATGCATGTTAGCTGAGTCATTATGTGCACAGAAGAAAAAAACAGAAAGAAATACACCTTTTTAGTGAATGAGTTGCTGTAAATGGACTGAATGACTTGCTCTGTTAAGTAAATAAGAGCACACACGTGTAGTAGGAACACGTTAATCCTACCAGTAGAAAACAACTTGTGTTATTCTGTGTTATACTATGGTTACATTACTATGGTAATTTTAGGTATACTTTTAACATAATTTTTCTGTCTCAAAATATCTATTCATTTTCTGATCCCTTATCTAATATAGTATCACTGGGGAGCAAGCAATAGGTGCTTATGCAGTATACACCCCGGAAGGAATACCAGTCCATTGCAGGGCACACACAAACACACACTCACACTGGCCAATTAAACTTTAAAGTGTATAGCACCCCAGGAATTGAACCCTGAGCCCCAGGGCTGAAAGACAGCAATGCTGGCAGCTTTACCACCATAGCATCCTGTTTCAGGACTTGTCTTTTCTTATAACATATTTAACAGAAAATTCAGTTGGCACTTGGAAAAATAACAGTATCTGCTATTAAAGCCATGAAATATTGATTTTCAGTGTATGCAAATAAGAGTGTGGTTCAAGAGTGTGGTGAACCAGGGTGAATGCAGGTGGTTGCTGATGGCCTTGGTGCTTTCATTGCCTTTAATAGAGTCAACTGGCCCACCTAAAGTGCTGTCTCCAGGAGGCAAAAAACAGTCCTTAAGCTGATTCAAAGGAATTAAGTGAGATAAGGGTCCAAAAAAAGATTTTGTACAGTCAAGTTTGTGGGAGGGGATTATGTCTGCTTACTATTTCAGTGAAAGCCATTTTATCAGATTTGCTCCTGCAGAGAAGGCTATTAGCAGTATCTAAACCAATTTAAAGGCATAATGAATACAGTACCTTGAAAATCAGTGCTTGGCATTAAACACAAAAGAAAGACAAACCCATTTGAAAAATCCTTTTTATTTGAAGTAACAAACCGCCTACTGTAACTTTCTTTTAAGGGTACTGGCCTCCTGGAATTGCCTTCAGACTGAATTTGAGAACAAAGCTGACTTGTGCTCATTCAAATCTACAAAGAATGCTGAAGATTTTGAGGATATTCCTTTGCCAAATGGCAATGAATTTCTCCTGTCATATTGTCAAAGGTATTTTTGTTTGGATTTTTATTCTGTATATAGTGTATAGATTATATTATAAATATTGAATATTGATTAACTGTTTTGAAACAAATATTTGAATTAATAGAAATCAATCTTTTTTACCATTAAAGACCTATAACTATGAAGTCTGGGCTTAAATTTTTCAGCAATTATAACAAACATAAAGGAAATAAATCCCTGGAAGGAAAGTATTTTAATTATTCTCATTACACATAGAATCAATTTATTACATGAAGCTCATTCCTGAAAAAAAAAAACTATTGTGTGGAGCATTTCCTTTTCAGGTAGCAAGGATCAGGATACTATCACACAGAATCGCTAGACAGCAGTATTATAAAGTTGAGGTGGCTTTTCTGCTTTATTTTTCAAAAATATTTAAAAAACATGATTTCTAAAACACAATAAATCACAAACTTTTTTTAGAAAGAAAGTGGACGATGCCACCCCTCAACAGAACAGAAACTGTACCAAAACTAACCCCAACACACCTCTGTCCCCTGTCTTCCCATCTGCTTCCAAACCTACTCACTCTGATTACACACCACAACAGTGAGACATCATTATATACACAAACAACCCAAACAAACCCAAGTGAGAATGTACATTGTAAACCATTACTTAATAGTGCAACCATAGTATTAAGGGTTAGATGGGCAGAATGGCCTCCTTTCGTTTCCAACCTTTCTAAACTATTGTACACAAAGGCAAAAGCTGTATTCCATGTGTTTGTGGACCATTTTGGCACTCTCTAACGACAGATGCTTTGTTATTACAGTTGTTCCACTGGACAGTATAATTCATGTCTACTGTGTTATTATTTGAAAAGAAATGTATAAAGTCTGCTCAAACTGGTGAAGTCAAAGGGAGTGATCAACCCATCCCAACAGGACCTGCTGCTGTTCTTGGATTTCATTCTAATCCATCTTTGTTAATTAGCCTATTTATTGACTTTGTGCAAATTACCATTTCCATTGGTGCTCATTTTCACATAACTATGAAAGCTAAAGGACAGTAGGGCAAGGTCACATCCACTAACTCTGGAAATAACGAGGTTCCAAAGTAGCAGGAAATATCTAAATCTTTGTTTTTGTGACAGCCAACCTATGCCTTGGAGGTCAAGATATTTTTGCTGCAGTTAAAGAAAACAGCCCCAATGGAGAATTCATTGCAAACCTAAGCATTATTGGGGACCCTGGAGCCAATAGCATTCGTTTGTGCCTCACTGGAGACAATGCAGATTGGTTTTATCTAGAGAGCAAAACCATCAGGTTAAACACATCTTCCACAAGAGTACTGGATCGGGAGGTAAGATACCATGTATTCACATGTTATTTACTGTTTTTATTTTGCAGCAATAACATTTATTGTGTTAAGAGGTGTTAGTGGGGCCACTTGGGGGTGCTCACCCTGCGGTCCATGTGGGTCCTAATGCCCCAGTATAGTGACGGGGACACTATACTGTAAACAAGTGCCGTCCTTCAGATGAGACGTAAAACCAAGGTCCTGACTCTCTGTGGTCATTAAAAATCCCTTACCAATCATGGCCTCCTAATAATCCCCCTCTATGAATTGGCTACATTACTGTGTTCTCCTTCCCACTGAGAGCTGATGTGTGGGGAGTATACTGGTGCACTATGGCTGCCATTGCATCATCCAGGTGGATGCTGCACATTGGTGGTGGTGGAGGGGAGTCCCAATTACCTGTAAAGCGCTTTGAGTGGAGTGTCCAGAAAAGCGCTATATAAGTGTAAGCAATTATTATAATAATAATAATTATTATTTTTATTATTATTATTATTATTTATTTTTAGTTCTGTTCTTCTGTTAATGATTGTAACATTTCTGAAATTTCATGGATTTATATGAGTCCTATAACCAACAATCAATGGTACAGATAAATAAGACCATATTGTAACTTTGAAAAAAACAGTTTCTAAAGGTCATCAGTTTTGCTTTAAATAATTACCTCAGAAAATATTATTCTAGTGATGCCTAGCAAGCTAATCAAGGTGTGTTTTTTTGTGTTTTAATTTAAGGTTCAGGGATCTGTCTTGATGGCCTCCTTAACTTGCTATGAAGATGACACAATACAGGTATTTCTGCAACAAAATCATTTTAAGAAGAAATTATTAGCAATTAAACGTTACATCTTGTAAATAATGTTTATCAGGATGATGGCTTGAGTGAGTGTGTACAGTGAAAACCCACTATGTATTGTAACCATGTTTGATAGCTCCATCTTATCTTTCCACCAAGATGTCTTATTTAGCAATAAAAATGTTTCTTGAACACCTTTCAACCTTTTGGAATTTATATTGTGAAATATGTTCTGTTTGTATTCTAAATTGTTGATATACAATGTGTTTTTCAGAGTGTGTACAGAATTATGGTTGAGATCTTAAATGAAAATGACAACAGACCAAAATTCCTTGAGCACTCTATTACAACATACAATATAAGTGAGGTAGGAATTGTCCTTTGATTTTTTTATGCCATACATTGAATTATTTTTAATAAATTATTTTTTGGGAGCTGTCAAAATCTATTTTCAGGGATGAATAATACCTTTAAAAATAAATGCGGACTATTACTTTGCCTATAGTAAATTAGTAATGTATAAAACAGTGTTTAAGTTTGCTTTTCCTTTGGCAAAATAGAGCAAAAACATAAGGTACAGTACATCCAACATGGAGCAATTATTATTCTTAAGGCTCAGGAAGAGGACTTGCGGGTTAGGAGTATGATTTTCTACACAAAGATAATCCTAAAAACACAAGCTGTTCAAATTTAGCTCATATAAAATGAAGGATTTTGATATTGAAGTGGTTGCAGCAGTCACCTGAATTTAACACCACTTTAATGTTATTGGATAAATTATCTGTAGAATGAAATAGAAAAGTTTACTTAGCATTAATATTCTCTAGTAGTTTATTAGAACGAAACTGAAGACATTATAATACACTACAATGTTACAGCTGAGTAATAGAATGGTTATATTATATGCAAATGTTAGGTAACAGTATGTGCTAATAAGTGAGGTCATTTAGATTTTATAGCCATTTTCTTTTGCATCTTTTGCAACATCATTTAATAATTTCTTTTACAATATCATTTGCATTTTCTTCTGAGACAAGTAATACATTTTCAAATGTATTAGGCAAGTAGTCTACTGTATGTTAAATCCCAATTTATTAGTTGTATCTACTGTATGTTTAATGGTTTGCATTGCCCTGTAATTTCTAACAACCAGTATATGCATACTAATATTCTAATGCACATCACCTAATAGCCTTCCACAAGATAAGCAACAAATAGAATTGACTCTAAGCATACTGTACTGTATGAATAATCCACCAGAAGACCTAAACTAGTTTGTAGCTTTTGGAATCTTAGATATCTGAAATATTATAAGCAGCATTGAATTTCACACTTCTTACCTAATTAGAAATTTTCTAAGACCGTAGAAGGCATGACAGGGTTTACGTTTCTAATTCATGCCCTTTGGTTTTCAGCTGACTGCTGTGAATACTGTCCTATTTACAGTGCAAGCTAAAGATGCAGATGATGATACCATAATGTATGTTATTGACCCAGCAATGGTATGTACCCTTTGAAAAATTCGCAACTCCTAGCACAGTTTGATTGAATTGATTGAGTTTTGTCACTAAATAAGGAATCCCTGTTTACAGTCAAGTTCAGCATTACTACAGTAGTGTCCAGTCCTGGTCATTTGGAAGCCAGTGTGTCTGTACGGTGTCTAGTTCTCCTTAAATCAGCTGCATCTGAAGAGCTGGGAAAGGCTGTTAAATTTGTCCTGCACGCCACAAATTAGCTGATTTAGCTCCTAAAGACCACAGATGAAAATGAAACCCTGCAGATACACCATCCCTCCAGGAACAGGTGTGGATACCCTTGGATTCGTGTTATTCTGAAAATAATAATAATAATACAGTATTCATATCCTTAAAACTAAATCACAAGCAGTCATAAGACTTTATAAATCAATACACATATTACAAATTTGTGTATGATTTACAAATAATTTTGTTATGAGAGTCTTTCAGCTTTGGAGTATCCTTCAACACAGTAAGAGGTGCCAGATATTAAATGCAGTGTATGCCAGCAACTATATCATCCTGCAACTCTATTGAGCCCTGCAACTCGCAACTAGCAACCCACTGAGCTTAGCAGGTGTGAGCCTGGTCAGTTCCTGGATGGGAGACCTCCTGGGAAAAACTAAGGTTGTTGCTGGAAGAGGTATTACAGGGGCCAATAGGGGGTACTCACCCTAGGATCTGTGTAGGTCCTAATGCCCCACAATAGTGACAGGGACAATATACTGTAAAAAGGTGCTGTCCTTCAGATGAGGCAAAAAAATGAGGTCTTGACTCTCTGTGGTCATTAAAACTCCCAAGGTGTTTCTTGAAAAGAGTAGGGATGCTGTCCTAGAATCCTGGCCAAATTTCCCATTGTCCTTTACCAATATTGGCTTCCTAATAATCCCCATCTATGAACTGGCTTCATCACTCTGTTCTCCTTCCCACTGAGAGCTGATGTGTGGGGAGTATACTGGTGCACTATGGCTGCCATTGCATCATCCAGGTGGATGGTACACGTTGGTGGTGGTGGTGGTGGAGGGGAGTCCCCATTACCTGTAAAGTCATTTGAGTGGAATGTCCAGAAAAGCACTATATAAGTGCAAGGAATTAGTAGTATTATTAATTGTCTGACATGTCTTTTTACAGCCTGATGCCAGCTACTTCAGGATTGACCTGCCCAACAGTGGGAGAGTGGTCCTGGCCAAGCCTCTGGACTATGAAACAAAAGCCCAGCTACAGTTTCTAATTTTTGCAGTGGTAAGCCAATTAAAAATTGTTCATGATTTGATTAGTAGGTATAATACGCCAGTAATTTTTAGGAGAAGTCAGGATTTCATGAGCAATCGAGTTTATAGGGTGGTATTAGTATTTCTGGATCTGGAAAAACTTCAATTGATCTGTTTTTTATCTTGATTGTCCCTATTTTCTATTGTGACCATATGTTCACCTCAATTTCCAATCATCTCTTTGATTTGAATAATCAACCAGATGAACACACCAGCTCATTTATTTTCCAAGATAAGATGCCAAAATAACAATGATCCATATCTTCTCATTACATGAGAAATTATACAAATGGAAACAGGCTATACAACAATACCACTTGTAAATGACTAGAGTTGTAGGCTCAAAGTTATTCAGTTCAAACTGCACTTCTGTACAATTAACCTTTAAACACCCCTTGATATCTTGATACAGGAAATGAACACTAAGCAAAAGCACAATGCTTCAGCCACCATCAAAATCAATGTTTTGGATGGAGATGATCAGTATCCACAGTTTCTTCCATGTATTCTCTTATCCCAAGACCAATCCAGATCAGTGTGCACAAACCCTATTTATACAGTCAACATCACAGAAAAAGAGCAGGTAATATAGTATTCTTACTTTTCTGTAATGTACGGTATGTACTGCTACTGGCCTTCCTGCCAGGATACTGTCAGCAAATAAGTTCTTGTTGGTTTTTCAGTACTGAAATTCTGTCCACCGCAATATATCTTAGTTATTATTGTCAACTCAGGACTTTCACGTAAAAAAGCATTGTATTGTTACTTATTTTCTGTTGATTTACATTTACTTAATTCACACCAAAGTGCATATTTATATATGGATGGTCTTCAATTTACATTTCTTGTATGCAGCTCTGTTACATGTTGTATAGCAGGTCATGCAATTGCATTTATTTAAAATATAATCATATACTGTATATAGTTGAAGAGAGTATAATTAACAATCACACTGTTTTATACTGTACAGTATATAGAAGATGTTTAAGACAGTATAATTAACAGTCATACTATTTTGGTAATGAATGCAGAACAAACATAACTACATGTGGTTTTAAATTCTACAAAATGCAATTTTCCAAAGCCATGGATGTGTGAAGATCTCTTCAGCCTCCAAATTTACATACAGTATGTTTAAAAGTATGTTATTTAAAAAAAAAATTGAATCACCATTTGGACAATTAGTGCAACAATCTTAATGTTTTGGGATTCACGGTGCACTTCTGTACTGAGTTTGAATGTTCCCATAGCCCCTATATGTGTTCCCTGTGACGGACTGGTGTCCCACCCAGGGTGTTCTCCTACATCCAGGATGAGCAAGGAATAACTTGGCTTTCGGTAGCACCTGAACTATCAAGATGCATTATGACTGAATGTCTTTACATGCCCCTGTGTCACGACTCTTCAATTTTGCAGTTGAAGATTGCAAGTACAGTACAGATAATGCAATGTACTGTGTATTATGTTAAACATAAATGAAAAGTTCAGGTGGGTAGCTGCGTCAGCATGCGTAGGCTGCAAAGGAACAAGTAATAGGTTTATTCCACGCTGAAAAGAAAAGAAGAAGGCTCCACGGCCAATACATTGCATGTTCTGTCTTCTCTTTTCGGCATGGAATAAACCTATTACTTGTTCCTTTGCATACATGAATAGTTTATTTATTCTAGGAATTTCCTAACAGTAACCTTATGTCACCAAATGCACTAAATGCTAGTTCAAACCATATGTTGTAAAGTAGATAGTATCCCATACTGTATGTATTCTCTATCCATCTGTCCATTTTCAATAACCACGCAGTTCAATACAGAGCTACAGTGAGCCAAAGTCGAATCCAGCAGACAATGGGCACAAGGTGTGATAGACCCATGCCAGTCCATCTCAGAGCATCCACGGGAGGGACAATTTCTGGAAAATAATTAACCTAGATGACATCTTTGGACTCTGGGAGGAAGGCTGATGAAAATTTGTACGGGCATGAGAACAACATGCAAACACCGTGCAGAAAGCTGATTGTGCCAGAATCAACCCCAGGATCCAATAGCTGTGAGGAGCAATGCCAACTGCCACAGTGTCACCCTCTATACATTAACATATGTATTTAACATAAAAGAGTGATTAGGCCAAAATAAACCATTCTTCATATTTCTGTTTTATTTAAAATAGAAACACTGTGTTGTGTTAAGCAGCAAATAAGACAGTGCTATAATATTTTTAGTGTGGAGGAAAATTCTAAGATAAGACGGGTCTAATAGCTGTTCTTGTCACAAATAAAAAAGGTTTTTATGCTAAAGATTTTAATTTAACAAGTTCTCTTCAGTATCCAGGACAACTCTTTAAATTCTTCTCTAGTGAACTGCAATGAAAAATACTGTTAAGAGCCTTGATGCTTTTTAAATTATATTGTCTTAATTCACAGGATATCACTCTGCATTTTTTTCCTGGTCCAATTCATGCTGAGGATGGAGATAAAGGCCTGAGAACGCAATTATCATATGCTATTTTATCAGGTTGGGAAAACATATATTTCTCTTTAAAACACTTTGCTTTCGTGGTAATATTCTATAGATAAAACATAAAGTGAAGAAACGTATTGAAATGGACTACATAGAGTAGAAGGACTAGATTGCTAAATGTTAAAAAGTTAAAAGGGTGGTGAAATGGTAAAAAAAACAATAGATTTTGGAACATCCAGGGTTTAGGTTCTCAGGATACATTGAAGTCATCATCATTCAGAAATAAGAAATTAGTTGTTCAACTATCCAAATACCTTTTCATCAGACATATTGTACCCATAAACCATTGCTTTGATTATTCTATCTTTATATTATATAAAGTATAAATGTTATAGATAACATTTATTATTGCTGTGACATACTGTAATTTTTATAATTGATTTTTGTAAAAACTGTACATTTATTCTTCCATAGGTGCTGATAATGGCAGGTTCCAAATAAACAATGTAACAGGGGAAATTTTTATGACAAGACCTGTGGAAAACAGGCTGCTGACACCAAACCTCAGACTTCGAATTATGGTAAGTGACATATAAGATTTACTTAAATTACTGTAGTCATACACGTATAGAATATATTAAATGGTGTAGATTTATCTACTGTATATAAATAAGTATACGTTAGTACCAATAATTGTTTATTTTAATTGTTTATTTAAAAAAAAAATCATAATTATGATTTTGCCTGTCATTGTTATATTAATTTTAAAATCCTGAAATGTCCCATACAGAGTCTGAAAAGAAAGAAAGATAAAAAAATAATATATAATAATAGCTGAGCATGCATGCTTATTTGTTCAAAGAATTTGTCTATTGCTAATTTCGAGAACCATTTAATATCTAATTTGCCGAAGAATTATTTGTGCACCTGGTGCAGAACTCTGCATTTTAGTTATGAAAATAGTTTGTATTTTGGAATAAATGCATGAATGATACATACATAGTGCCTTACAAAAGTATTCACACCCTTTCTATTATGTCCAATTTTGTGAAATTACAAAATTATACACATTTCCCAAACTTAATATTTTATTCACAAATCTGAATGCTCAAATTAAAGACCTCTAAGAGGAGACACATTAATACATGTAATTACATGTAATAAATGTAATTACAATAAATGTAATCATAAACTAAACAGAATAACATGAAATATGATGATTGCACAATTAAGACCCATAAACTCAATATTTGGTGGAAGCACCTTTGACTGCAATTAAATCTGTTAGTCCTTTTGAAAGTATCTACCAATTTTGAACACTGGCTTGGTGCAATTTTTGCTCATTCTTTTAGTCAGATTTGCTGCAGCTATCAAGTTGTTTGGAAATTGTTTTTCCAGGATTTGGATTGCTGTCCTTAACTACAGTTTTGCCTTGTCACAGGCTGCTCAGGTAGATGACCCAAAAAAGTACACAGTGGCCACAGCACTGATCAGAGTGTTGGCTGTGAACCAGTATCCACCACAATTCAACAGAACAACCTACAAGGGATTCATAATAGAAAACATCAGCCCTGTAACTTTCGTATCAACATATGGAAATACAGTTCTTGTCATCCAGGCCTATGATCGGGATTTCAGAGATGTAAGCAGGCATTCCTTTAATATTATGCGATAATCAGTTCATTTCCTTTGCTCCTCTGTTACGCTGAAAGCCTGTAGATAAGTAATACAAGTATTCATACATTGTTCTAAGTTAGTACTGTACATAAAGGAGGTTGTATTTTTTTTACAAACTTGCCTAAATACATGGAAATGTTTGAATATCTTTATCTATATTTATCTATATTTTACATACCAATGAAATAAGATCCCTGTTAAATACATTTGTAAAATAAATGGAATTATAATAACTCACATGACCACTTATAACATTTTTTGCTTCAGACTCCTGGTCAGTCCTGTTCATTTTCAATATACAGAATGCCTGATTAAAAGTAGTTTGTATTATATATACTGTATATCATTTCATTTTCTTGCTGGCTACAAAATTAATGTTCTCCTTGTTAAATTCGTCTTTCAAAATTGATCCCAATTTTTTCCACCTCTAATCTTAGTAAATGATGAGACAAAACAGTGAATTCTAGTTTTATGACCTTAAGGTTGTGCTGATTTATTTGATCATTTCTTTAACAATTTATTTTTTCTTTCCACTTTATTTTGCAATAGTTCATTGGCATGGAAAATAATCTAAGTAGAAATATTGAAAATAACTAGTAGGTTCAGGAAAATATACCAGTTAAAGTAGATACAGAAACTAAAAAGACAAGTTACAACTGATGATTTTGACTTATTTGAATGACTGGAAAATTGTTGCATATTTGTGGATAAACTGTATGGATTTATTTCAGGGAGTAAATCCTAGAATCCATTATACTCTGAAGCCAAAATCAAACAACACTAGACTTTATCAGATCACACAAGAGGGATTTCTAATTGCCAAAACTGATGTACTCCGTGCATTTGAAAAACATTTTCTGGAGGTAAGAAAAATGGATTGTATTTTGGATTGTATTTTTTTCTTTTTGCTGTGACTAGTTAGAATCCCATAACAATTATATTCAAATTTAGGGACACGTCAATGATTTAAGACTAATTAAAAAATAATTTCAGCATACTGGATTGTCTTTCACTAAGAAAATAACTTAATATTTTCACTTACTAATTAAATACCAATGTATTAATAATTATATTACAACAATTTGGACAATATATTATTGTCACCACCACCAACCTGCCTAGACCAGCCCCCAAGAGGACTAATCAGTTTCAGCAGCAGGGTGATAATTATAAACACCGCCGCATGTGTTAATTCAACATTAGACGCTTTACCGTGCAGCAGGCTGCATTATTTAAGCCTCTCTTACCCATGTATCGCTGCTCGGTAATGAGTAAACTTCTCGTGAGCTCTACCTAGCGTTTCGTCACCTTTTCGTCACCTTTTCGTCTTCCTGGTATTTTGACTACACCTTTTTCGCCTATGGAGTACGGATCTAGCCTTGCCCCTCGGATTGTTAACCACCAGTGTCGTTACCAGATTATTACCTACCGTTCTCTTTTCGACCTCGATTCCGTCTTACATTTTAGATTGTTTGCCACCAGTGCCTTTACCGGACTTCGACCTACCTTTTGCCCTCTGACTACGATTTAGCTCCTTGTTGGCTTCCTAACCTCCCAACGACTCCTGCGTCTGCATCGGATCCCTATCACCTCTTCAGAGTGTCATTACAATTATTTTCTATCACAGTCACCACTCGTGATACTGTATATACAATAATCTTAAATTCTTTTTAACAATTTAAAATATTGTAATATTCACAAGGTAGTATGAAAGAAAGTAGCTGCCATGAAAAGTACTTTAGCTACATTTCTTAGTACAGACTGCTACAGTTAGAACTACAGTATGCTAAGACACTTTGTCAGTTTTGACAGGGTATACTGTATCTCCTCTGCCAAACGTGCTTGGTATAGAGTAGTTGTAAAACAACTTACTTTGTGTTATATTCTGGGTAATTATTGGGGTTGTGTGTATTAGTAGGTTAGATACCTACAGTACATGTGATTAAACTAAGAATAAAGGTTTTAAACATGAAACCAATTAATCAACTTGATTGGTTGCTAGTAGTTATAAGATATGAGGTTCTCAGTCAGCTGTTTCTTCTAAGAATTAAGTACCTGCTTTAATAACTGTCACAATTGTAGTCCCTCCCCCTTAAGGGCGCTCTGGCTGTTTCACTTTTGAGTTGATTTTGTGCACCTGCTCCCGGTTCCTGCCTCCCTATAAGAGCCAGATGCGCACTCTGTTCTGGGCTCTGCATTGCTTCCCATACCAGGCGAGTCCTGGACCGGTAGAGCTGGTCCCATTCCCCCCCTTGTTCCCCCCGACCCTCCACCGGATCCCACTCCGGTTTTTAATCCTGTTTGTCTTCGTCTCGGATGGACTGCCCGGCTTTGGACTTTTGCCTCATCTTGGATTTCCCTTTGGACTCTGTTTTGGACTCTGTTTTGGATTGTTAGCCCCAGACTCACCCCCCTGAACACCTGCGCACTATGGACACGCCCCCTGTTTTCATTCCTGACTGCATGCCTTTTGTTTTCCCTGTGTTTTCCTCACTCATGCCCAGATTGTGTCATCTGCATAGGGTCTCGAAAGAACATGGCTCTGTAGTTTGTTCTAGACTTCGACAAACCTATGGGGAATGAAGAGCCTCTAGTTCTCAGTCTTAAAATCACTTCCTCTTTGATCCTAGCTGAGTTCAGTGTTTCCTGTTTCACTGTTATGTCTGTGAGTTTTTATATATATATATAGATCAAGTACCTTTTATAGCCTTTTCTAGTGATCCACGCAAGCTTGAAATGAACCATTTCCTATGTGCCTGCCTTCTTTGCTTACTGCTGAGCTAGTAAACAGACCACTAGTTTCTGCATTAATGCCTGCAAAAATTAATACAGAATGTGCAATACTGGTAGAGACATATCCAAAATGACTTGCAGAAGCAATTGCTGCCAAAGATGTTTCCACCAAATTTTGAGTTCACAGGTCCTAATACTTATTCAATTAACATATTCCATTTTTTTCTCTCTTTACTTTGCTGACATCTATTGTCAGATACTACTGTTAAAAGCCTGTGCATAGCACTGCATCTATGCAGACAAGGGAAAACAAATCAAGAATTGTGATACAGCATGCATACAACAGTGCTTGCTTCCTTTGAAACAAGTTGTACTAACACAACAAGAATCCTATTTCAGATCCACAGGCCTATGCGGCTTTATATGAATGCAACAATCTTTCAGTTTTACCAGTACAGAATATGATAGTGAGTGGAACAGTCTAAAATATAAATCAACACAGAGGTTCTCACTCCTAGTCCTGGGGAGCCACATACCAGCTTGATTTCATTGCAGTTGCGCTTTTTGCTTTAACTAATCTTTAATTGAGCCAACTAGTATTTGACCAGAAACTTTGCAAGTATTTTTCTACTCAAAGGTTGGAGATGATGAGTAACACAAGAATCCCAGCAGTTTAAAGGTAACTTCCTACATATTTAATAACTGAAATAGTAAATTAGTTCAAATTTTACCTATTATTAGGACTATTAAGGGTTTAGTTTAGTGCTCAGGTGTACATAAACAAGCAAGAGTGTGAGTGTCCAGAGCCAGGATTGGCCCTGGATCAACTCAAAGCAATACATTTATACATTTTAAATCATTCTGTGTTTTTCAAAAAAACTATTACTGTTGAAAGTGGAGATGAGTGGTACGAATTTCACTTTCAGTTAGGAGCTCAGAATCAGCAGAATCATTTCTAATATTTAAACTGTAACAGAGCAGTTGGTTCTGGAGTTTAAAAACTGGCTTAGGCCACTAAACCGCAATGTTAGGACACTCCAGAGACACACAGAGAAGTTAAATAGAATTTAAAATCGGACAAGTTGATTTTCCTATATAATGGTTCGACACTTGACAGAGGTTGTCTATTCAGTTTTGGAATAGATAAGACAATATTGTCAGAAAAGGACACAGTCTCATGTGGGGACATTAATAAAAAGGACAAAGCGACTGCTTCTGTATCAGTGGTGCTAGTAACAACAAATGTTCAACAAATTTACCTGGCCAAACAGGATCAGTTCCAGAACAAGGGTTATTGGAAAGATGAGATGATAGTGGGTCATAGTACAGTTGGAAAAACTATTGATTTCAGGGTGTCCCCAGTTCTTTACTTCCTCATATTATACAGGGGTTACATTTGCGTAGGTCCACGACCTGCTACCAGGGTAAGAGGACCTACTCCAGGACCTAATACCACTATAACTACCTGAACTGACAATTGTTTTTGCAGGTAGTTGCTACAGATCAAGAATCAGGAGAAACTGTGAAAGCCTCAATTGATATTGAAGTTCTTCAGAAAGGTCAACAAGGTATGCCTTCTATAGTTATGAACCATTTATTCTAACATTTTTCTAACATTTATTTATTTTTATTCAGTTTAAAATAAAATAAATTATTAATTTAACATTCTGTTTATTTCAATATGTGATTGAAGGCCTTATTTCATGCACTGTCGGGCTGTTACAGGTTGGTGCTCGATTTATATATCCAAAGTAGTAATATACTTTCATAGACACTATTGATCTTTTTTAGGCTTCATGGGTATCAATGACAAGTATTTTTAAGTAGGTAATTAAATAAGTAACCTCCTGGATTACCCTGCTCTCAACTGAAGCAACATGCCTTGGAAATTGGCTTACCTCAATTATCTTCTTAAGTGTCTGACTGGTGCTCGAAATAGGAGAGTTTAATTATTTGACAGAAGTGTGCCATGCTACATCCTGACAAATTGAGGTAACTCTCGGCTGCTGAAAATAAGATAATACAATATAGTCAGGCACAAAAGAAACCAAATATTCAGATTTAATAGATGTATTAGAGCTGAGCTGAGTATTGCAGTTGGCTTCAGCAAGAGTCAATATAAAACTCATCCCAAAGTCCCCACACATGTTGTTTTCCTTTATACAGTATCTAACAAGCCAACAGCCATATCAATCTGCAACTCACAACTGGCAACCCACTGAAGCTAAGCAGGTGTGAGCCTGGTCAGTACCTGGATGGGAGACCTCCTGGGAAAAACTAAGGTTGCTGCTGGAAGAGGTGTTAGTGGAGCCAGCAGGGGGCGCTCACCCTGCGGTCCATGTGGGTCCTAATGCCCCAGTATAGTGACAGGGACACTATACTGTAAAAAGGCGCTGTCCTTCAGATGAGATGTAAAACTGAGGTCCTGACTCTCTGTGGTCATTAAAAATCCCAGGGTGTTTCTGGTGAGCGTTCTGGCGCACTATGGCTTCCATTGCATCATCCAGGTGGATGCTGCACATTGGTGGTGGTGGAGGGGAGTCCCCATTACCTGTAAAGTGCTTTGAGTGGAGTGTCCAGAAAAGCGCTATATAAGTGTAAGCAATTATTATTAACATACATCAGTGAATAAAATAGGCATACATTCTCTCTGATGTCATGTCAGATGTCCTTTGCCTGCAGAACATGGTGAATTAATCTCTCAGCATTACCTATAAATGGCCTCTAAGCAGGCAGGTCATTTTCATATGGACAGTGAACTAATGTTATTCTGCTGATATGGTACAATCACATCACAATCACAATCACAATCACAATCGGCCAATACTGCCTGAAAACAATTTTTCAGGTGGATCAGATGGATTTATCTTTCCTGTGCTGGTGTGCCTTCCAAGATATAACCTGTCCCTCAGTGATCCAGTTTCCTAGTTTCTTAGACTAGTTTACTAATTGTTGATTAATATTATTTTGTTCTATAGAAGTGATCATCTTTTATTCAAGCAGGGCGGGGTCATATCTTTTGCTGTTGCTGTATGAGATTCCTATTCAACTCATTTGAGTTAACTTGACACAAATAAGAATTTTGATCACCTGATGTTTAGGAAATTGCACGATTCAATCTCAGAATGTGGTCATCAAGAGGTACAATAGGATCAATTCCATCAAAACATTATTCACGTCCTTAATGAACTAATGACATAAACCAGTTTTCATTGTGCATTAGTTAATGCACTTTAATTAAGCTGTTATCATGCTGTTGCTTCCAGGATACAGGAAATGTATAAAATATACTCCAGGGCATTTGATATAAGTTTGAATAAGACTAATTTAAAACTGAGAGATTCTACATTCAGTAGGTTTGCTAGCCTATATTCATTAATTTTCTAAGTAATAATCAATTGTTGAAAGGAAGAAATTGCGACTTGCTATATTATAGAAAGTTCATTACATAGGAGAGTGGTAAGGAGAGTGGAAATCCAGCATACTACATATATAATATCTATTTTTCTGAACTTCAGTTCCATTGAGTCCCTTCAGTGGAAGAGAAAAACTGTACAGCATGATGAACATGAACGTACTTGGAGGAAGCATGGGAGTAGCACTGCTTCTCCTGATATTTGCTCTCTGTGTGTTTCTTCGGATTGCAAAAAATCGAAGACAGCATCAACACACTGCAGACAGAGCTTCGGTTGCACTGGAAAAACACCCAAATGTGGTAGGTCCAAGTTATTTTACCATTTCCTAACTTTCTCTCAATGACTGGACTTGCAGATGTTTCTGAGAAATAGAACATCAGTTGAAGTGTCAAAATAAATATCTTGCTTTAACTGTATAATGTACTTGCATTTGAAACCAAGAACAGGAGTAACATATTTACTGAAAAGGTTGTGAGAGTATAGAACAAGCTACCCCACCATGTTGGTGAAGCTGAAAGCCTGGTTTCTTTCAAGAAACAGCTGGATGAGATCCTTGGATCAATTAGCTACATTTACTTGTAATGCTTTTACTCAATGTTATATTCATATGTCATTTATCACCACACTAAGTCTACCTCTTTTTAGAAAAAAATCAGAACAGCGCTTTCATGATTTTTCAAACACAAGACGAAACACAAAAAGTAGTTCAAGTGGGTAGCTGCGTCAGCATGCATAGGCTGCAAAGGAACAAGTCATAGGTTTATTCCATGCTGAAAAGAGAAGAAAGGAAACACAACCTAGGCTCCACACCTAAAACATTGTGTTTTCTTTCTTCTCTTTTCAGCATGAAAGACAGAAAGTGCCTTTATTTAAATGAGTACAACGAAAGATGCATTCAACATTTCAGAATTGTGTTTTCCTTGTTAGGCAAAAATCAGTTGTATACATAATGTGGTCATAAATATTTCTCATTATGGCACATTAATTTTGGAATGTTAGTTTAATTGTCTGTGAATAGTCAATTGTACTCATCATATTAATAGAAACTGTTGCACATGAATCTCGATGGTTTCAGCAAAGTTCAGGTCAGTAAGTAAGATAAAAATCGAGTTCTGACGAATGACTTCTTTTCTGTACATTCTTCCTGTATTTCAGTAGTAGTTTATACAGTTGAGTTTCACAGTAAAGTAACATGATTACTGAGACTGTATTGTGCAGTTAGAAGATTGTTATAGAGCCCACTCCTCCCTCAGTCAATTTTGGGAAGTGTGCCCCAAGCTGTTTTATAATAATGGTAATGCATGATCCTTCAGGGAACATTAATAGACACAGCAATATTTCTGTCTGCATGACTAAGATGTTTCACAAGGCTGCTTATTATATATTGTTATTTTCCAGTTACTATTGGATTGTATTCAGGATGCAATAATAATTGAACTACTTGAGTTAGATCTGTGACCTCTGTATGGACGAATGATCATTTTTTTTCTATGGGCTTCTGAAAATTGTCTGTTGTTTATTTAAGTAAAGTTGGTATGATACCATCAGACCCAGAAGACTGGTTAATCTTAAGTGCTTCTAATACCATCAGGCTTCTGCCACTACTACTGTATACTAATACTTTTTAATCTAGAATTTACTGTAGATTTGCTCATACTGAGGCATGTTATATATTTCTTCTGTAGTAAAAACATGAGTAAAATTATTCATTTAGCCATTTCCTTTTCATAATTTAAAAATGTCCTATTATTATATATGTGATACTTCATCCACTACTGTTCATTTGTGGTTTTAACACTGAGAAAGCATTTTTTATTTTTTTATTCATATTACCCTACAAAAAATTTAAAATTAAAATTGAAAAAGAAAATCTGGTGTTCATTTTTCACTTTTGTCTATAGACTTCAGGCACTGACATCAAACTAAGCTAAACAGGATAATGGTATGTTCATGGGTCTTTTGAGTGCCTTATTATCCAGTCACAAAGACTTGGCCAACATGAGATTAATGTCAGCTAATTGTCCCACTATTTTTCTACCTTCAATATAAAGTGGTTCAATGTGGTCAATTCTCATTGTTCCAAGAGAGTAGAATATAATTGACGTAAAAATAAAATACATAGGAGCTGTACATATTAATATTTTTTGAGTGAAATGCTTATCATTAGAGTCCATAGTGAACACATTAAATTCAAGTGAAAATGACAGTTTAGACTTTACTGTCCTGTCACTTTTGGAGGGCACTGTATTTTAGCCTCCACTTCTCTATGTGCTGTATCTCTTGTGTTTTCAAATATCTTCTTTTAATTTTGCATGTAAGTTCTTGTATTCCACTTAACTAGATATTGTTCTTTTTAATAATTTTAAAAATGTGTTTTAATTTCTCTTTGAATCGTTCCAAATTGATTTATTAATCCATTTGGGCCATTGCTTTCTTACTTTTCTTTTTCTTTAGGAATAAACAAATTCAGTTCTTCAAGTATAATATCGTGTTTCCATTAATTCTTTACCAGTTTTACGTATATTTAATTTCATGACAGTATGGCTTCCTGAAATTTTAAATCATCATTTTGTACGTGTCAGAGCATGACCCTAGTTCACTAATGGCTCTGTCACCTCTATTTCAGTTGATTTAACTTAATATATAATTTGAAAAGACTGAATCAAAAGAGATATTTCCCCTTGTACTTATAGGTGCTCTCAGTAACAAAGCAGTCATTAGCCATTAAAGTTAGGGGATCATCCTGATTGCCTGATATAAGCTTTATGGAGCGAATTACATCCTAATGATGCTACAGAAAACAAGAATGTAATACAAATAATCTACAAACGTGTTTCTCATTCCTGCTTTTTTCTTTAAAAATGCTGCTTATATAGAGCTTAAGGTGGTTCCAGTTGGTGAGTTTTGGGTTTGTTAGATTTCAGTGTTGGTGAAGTAACAGTGTTTGTGACAATTAGATATATAATCTGTTTTAAGATTGCATTAATAACACAAACATGATGGCTTCACTTTTAAAGGCAAATCTAAAACAATATAAAACATTATTTGTTTTTAATAAGACTTTTTTTTCTTGACAGTATTACTCTTCAAATATTTTTTATCCATCAGAATTATCAGAAAGCCTCTCTTCCCATAAGCCACAGTGTTAGTTCCATAATATACTGACCAGCTAAAATAATATGCTGCAAGATAAAGTTTGACTAGTTTATGTGACATTGCTCAAATGTTTTAAACCCCAAGAAGCCCATTTTGGAAAAACAAAAAACAAATAACATAACAAAGATTTAGTGAAAATCAGGATGTAGGATTTCAGAATTTAGCAACAGCCACATTCTAACTATAACACATTATTTATTCACTGTCTGTCTCAATATGTGGCAAGTCAAAGTAACAAATTCCATCTCTGTACAAGAACATCACTTTCATCATACGGGTGGTTCATTGTGAGTGACAAAGCTCATTAGAGTGACACTAGGAGGATGTGACATACAATAATACACATTTTATGCACATTCAAGCCTTAGGAATGTGCTTTGTCATATAGAAAGAATATGATGCAAAAACACCAATGGACAATGGTTGGGGGGAGTCAGAAATGTATCACACCACACTAGACGTTAAACTTCTCTACTCCATCTGTTTAGGTTATTAACTCGGGCTAGACAAAAATCTATACATTTCTATACCATGAAAGGCAGAAGTAATTGATAAAAAATGTTCATGCACTTGAAATAATATTGCAAGAAAATAAACCTTCACCTACAGTACATGTGGTAAAAGCTGGTCAGTATAAAGTCTTTGTTATTAATGTTAAAATTTCCTATGCTGCGAATCCAAAACCTAGCTTTCATTTACTACATGATCGTCTTCATATGGTATAGCTTAGTCTTAGGTGAAATGTCTTCTAGAGAGATGGAAATCCCTCTACAAATGAACCACAGACTACTGTTATACCTACGTTTTATATAAACTGCTTGTCTTTTCTGTAATCAAAAGGTGAACCCTGGAAGACCCATGCCTCTGGTTGAGGAAATCTCCTACCAAAACGAAGGGTACTGTGACTTGGGTGAAGAAGAGACAGCGTCAAACATCCATGGCAAACAGGGGGTTTACGTTAAGAAGGAAGACAATATAAATGTCAAAACATGTAACAAACAAAAGGAATTTTTAAAATTTCCAAAAGATACAGTACATTCACATAAGAGGCCTGCACAAGAATCCGAAAGCACGTCATCATCTATTGTGTCCAATGGAAGAACTACAGAGCGATCTGGCTGTAAATCCGTTTGGTTTAATGATGATATGATAGTTAAGGAACATGATTCTACCACCAATCAAAATCCTGATGATAGTACTCAAGAAGCTAACCTTCAAATGGAGAAAACAAATTCCCAGATGGCCAATGATGAACCATCTGCACAAGACCAGTCTGACAATGGGATGTGTGAAAAAGAGAAGACATTGGCGGAAGGAAGTACAGGAGAGAAGCATGACACATCTGAGTCACAGGATGATGACAGTCTCCTAAAAGACTTAGAGGAACATCACGACTGTGCTGAGGAAGTGCTGGAAAACCCTTATAAAAACATGTGCCCTGCGATTTGTGTTATGGGTGACAAAGTAGGTACCACTGAAGATGAGCACAGCAATGGAACAAACTCTAATGATGACCTGCAGTTAGAAGACCCAGAAACAGGTCAAACAGAAACAGAGGCTGAAGCTTTTTTACATTGTGGAAACCCTCCAACACATAATGATGAAACAGTGTCATCAACTGCAGAAAATGAATCTGTGACAAAAGGTAGCAAGGCACAGAATCTGGACTACGACAGCACAACACAAACAGGGCTTTTGTTTTTCGTAGAAGATTCCATAGAATTCTAAGAGTTTTGATAATGTTGAGCTGAAGCCAAAAGTACTGTGTTTACAGAAAATCATTTCAAATATATTTGAGCACTTTTTAAAAATGAATAATGATCCTCCAAATAAAATATTTTGATTAAAAATGAATACACAATTACCTCTTTTTATGAGTTCTTATGTATTTGCCACTCAAAAATTGCTAAAGAAATTTGATCGTTTCCAAAGAAACTTGTGTCTTGTCGGAAATTATTTTTGAGATGTGAACAGCCTTAATATATTTTATGTCTGAGCAGGACATTAAATGTCATTGCAATGATGAAAGAGTGACATTAAATGAAATGATATCGGAAGTATACACAGTGCTATGATAGAGCCTTTGTGATAAGAAGTTTCTAATGTCTCCTTTGTTGTTTATTTCAACTGTATGGAAATTTATTATTTAGTCATCCACACCTTATTTTATTGATATAGATTACCATCAAATCACTAGGTTTGCCTCCAAAAGATTGTTTAACTTTATTAATAACAACTGTGATGTGATATGAATGTAATAAAGAATACATTTTGTGACATTAAAAATAGGATGGTGTTTTTATTCTAAGTAACAATTGTGCAGGAAAAAGTGCTTCTTATTTCCATTAATTAGAGAGCAGCAGTATGAAATAGTGGTTAGGAGCTCTGGCATCTAGACTGGAGGTTTGTGTGTTCAAATACATGTGTTACAATAAGAACAAAAGCAAGGTATTTCACTCAAATTTATTGATTCTAAATCCTATGCTACAATTCGAGTGGGACTCTCTAGGTCACCAATGAAAATGTGAATTTCTTTATTGATTTATCTGGTTAGCTAAGGAATCAAATCCAGGATGTAATAATAGGTTTAAAACATCTTTATTAATTTTAAAGGATTAGTTTACACGTCTTCTAAATAAGTTGATGTGGATGTCTTATTTATTTCTACAATTCTAAAGGCTTTCACAATCACAGCTATACGCTGCATGGTTACTCTCAGCATGTCAAAAAAGGGATTAAACAGATCCCTTACGCTTGAAGATACATTGAGCAAAAATATCATCATGGGCTGAAATGCATGGCTAAATAAAACAACCAAGAGGGGTTTTATCACATGATCCCCGAGTGCTGTCATTATCCCCACGACTAACACCTGAAAAACAAATAAGAACTTAAGAAAAGTTGCAAAAGGAGCAGATGATTTGGTTCAATGTCTCAAATAAATCAGCTATTCCCACATAGCCTGGATCTAAGTAGCTTTTCTTTCAGATATGATTTGTACCTCTGTAATATGTAATACGTATGAGCATTGACATACAGGCATCTCAGGTCTAATCTAAGGCTGAATGCAGTGATGTAAAGTGGACAGAGCCTTACAGAGAGACAGAGCCACTAGGTTGACAGAAAATGATCTCCTGGGAAGTTACTGATTCTCTCAAAAGGTATCATTCTAGTTTCAAGTTAAATAAAATCAGATGATGTTTTGAGTGTTTTTTTTCACTTACACCCTATATAAAGTGAAGCATTCTTCAATCCTGTAATTACCATCTCATTTATGGCAATGCATTTAATCTACACCCCTTTAAGACACTCCTGATCACCATCACTTGCTGTGTTCTAAGTGTGATTGGCCTGTTCCTGCACTGATACTAGGGCTTACAAATGTCACTGTTTTATCTTTGACACAATATTTGACACATCTATCTGCATACTTCTCTAGCTCTCTCTTGGGAAACTGTGCAATGTTATCCAATCTCAGTCCTGGAGGCCAGCACACTTGCTGAATTTTCATGTCAACCAAGATTAATTGCTTAATTGAAGGCTTAATTGAGCTAACATGGTGCTTGTTTGAAATATGTACAAGTTCAGTTTCCTACTCAGAAATATATAATTGTATATTACTATATTACTAGATAGTTAAAAGGCAACCGAAAACACCCAATCAGTTCATTTATCCTATTATCAAGTCACTTAAAGTTTCAGTTGTACAACTGAGAGCTTGGCAGTAACAACAAACAGCAGGTGTATGGACCTCCAGGATCAGGATTGGGTTACAGAGCACCAAACTTCTTTTTCTGACATATACATTTCCTTATTAAAAGAAAGAAATCTAAATCCATTCTATTATGTTATAAAGAATTAGGCTAATAAAAATTGTAAAATATAGTGATAACATCTGTTGTTTTACTTACATTACATAGAGATTGACTAACAAAGTCCAGCATCTCAATTAGAAATATCATGATGAAGTAAAGGGGAACTCTTAGGATCCCAAACACCTTTCTCCAGAACTGATGAATGACCATTTTGAAGCTGCAAAACATTTTTTTTTTCACAGTGGAATCGAGCTCAGACTAAATAATCTCATAAAAATCACAGTTAAAAAGTTCTACCCATAGTACATTATTAGAGTTCCTACTCCTAAAACACCAAAGAAATGAACAAATGCTGTTTGCACCTCAAATGCAAATTCACAATGAATCCTCACTTTATCAACTTTAGTGGAGTCGACTTCGAATTTACTTTTTCAGCTTAACCTGTACCTGTCAGTCCCTTCAGATACACTTGCTTCTTCAGGTCCCTTTCTAGATTTATAGAAATACTGTTGAGAATTATCATACATTTGGCTGCAAAGCAAAATAAAAATAAGAATATGAAGGCATGTGGCTTATAAGATGGTATGCAAAAACTACAAATAAGTTAAGATAAGCAGAATAATGCATACTCTCTTCTCAATAACATCTTATTGTGCGCTGTCAGTGTTTCGGCAAACAAAAGCCTTCATCAGGACATGCGTACTTGAATGAATGAAGATGTTATATCAACTAACATTAATTAGTTGGAAACACCACATATAAATGTAAGCTTCAGTGCCCAAATCATTGAGTATTAATGTGGAAAATCCCAAATGTTTCCATTTTTAAAAAAATACACTATTAAAACTGACATCTTTCCTAGAGATGGGAACTTTCTCAGTATTCACATTCAATGTCCTCCACATGTATTCATACCCCTGATGAAAAAGGAACTATAAACATCAAATAAACAAAAGTTTTACATATTGGATAATACTTCTTGCTTAAACAAAATCTGGAAAACATTTTACAATACTCTTAATAGCATTGCACAGATCAAAGTCATACTTATTATTAAAAAATCAGAAGTCCATAAAACAAGAGTTACATTTGTTCACACCCCAATAGTTAGGATTTTGTAAAATCTCTAGTAGGGATTACACTAACTATATGTCTCCTGTAGTGTGTTATGAGGCTCTGCCACTTCAGAGGGGAAATTTATTAACATTCCTACATGAAGAATTACTCTATGTCCTTCAGACCCTTTGGTGAACTGCCATCTTGAGTTACGTACAAATGCTCAATTAGATTGATGACTGGAGAATGAGAAGGTCAGTTGAGAACATTTATTTTGTGTGCAGTTAATCATTCCTTTGTCAAAATGGATGTATGCTTTGGATCATTGTCATGCTGAAGTATCCATTTTAAGCCAACCCTGAGCTTCTTGGCAGAAAGAACAAAGTGTCTGGAAAAAATGTCCTGGTACATGTTTGGAGTTAATGATTTTCCTCTTTTTGACAAGGACCTGTAAATGCAAAACCACCTCAAACCTTAATACACCACCCACAATATTTCGTAATGGGAATGAGTGTATTCTCAATTACCTTTATTTTAGGTCAAACATAATGGTGATAAGCATGTCCAAACAACTCCACTTTCATTTAAACTGGCCATAATAGATTGTTTAAATTCTTCTTCTAAAGATGTCTAGTTTGAGTTGCCTCTTTTAGTGGTTTGCCTCAGAAGAAGTTCCTTCCTTGCAACCGAGCTATGAATGACGCATTCACATAAGCAACACAAAATGGTCATTTTCAACACTTTGTATCTTGAAGATACCAATTTGTTTCACAAATTATCTCCCGAACCACTTGTGCCACATCCCATGATGGCACGATACACTAAGTTACACTCTTTTTTCCTGGCAGGTTTTCCACTGTACCAGTACCATTACAGTTTTTAATAATGGACACTAAAGTGGAAAATGATATAATCAGTTTCTTTTTAAAAGCCATCACCCAACTCATGGGTGTCATTGACCATTTGCCTGCATTTTTCAAGGTGCTCTCTGACCTTAACCATGATCATGCTACCGAGTACAAACAGCAAGCCTTTGAAGGCATCTCTGTAGTTCTTAAAGTTTCCTTTACCATCCCAAATACAAGAATGTTATTTAGAATGGAGGCTATTAATAAATTTTATTGAAAAGAATATTTAGAGCTGTGAATAGTGTAACTGTGACCTTCTTCTTTTCTGAAATTAAATTAAGTATTTATGACAAATATGATTTTGCTCTTTGCAATAGTATTAAGATTACAATATCACATTATCAAATCCGTAGCTCATTCTGCTTTAGGATGTTTTTTGCTCCTCTTTCATCAAGGTCACAAATTAAACTGGACAGCACTGCATTTATATGAGGAAATTACATTATTGGCTTCAACAGCAAAAAGCATGAAATATGTTTAATCAGTTTTAATCAGTGGATGTCTCATAGATAGTAAAAATGTTTCAGATTGTATATTGTCTGTATATGAAATAATACAGCATACCGCGTAGGTACAATACATTACTAAGCTTTATAATTGCAGTTTAGAATTTGCTTACCCTTCATCACTGTAACAGACTTTTCCGAAAATTTGATCTTCAGCTGTTTTTTTCTCTGACTCTCTATTTTCAGCTCCCTGTGTGAATTCAATGTTGTCATGATGTATCTTAGTTTTTTAATGTTAGAATTGATCATAAAAGTATACATAACTGTATATTTACAATACTGCAAATGCAAACATAATGTAGTGATCAATTTAAATATCACCAAGATTACAAAATGAAAAAAGAATTAATCACCATTTGAGTCTTAACATGAAATGTTATTACATTTTTGAAACAATGTTTTTCATTGATAAAACTTTCAGAAGAATAGAGTGCTACACAAATTACATTTGTAGAAATAATGTAGAATGTCTATGCACTGATAAAACAATACTCAACAATACTAAAAAAAATGATTTTTTGAAGAATGTAAGGTAGCATAGGGTTATTTTGAATGGCAAGTATAAAATACTGAATAGTTTCAATCACATACTATGTATTCAGAATGAGAAAGATTTAAAAAGTTTTTTATCCCAACTTATCTAAGGGCTTGAGATGAAGAAAAAATATCTACAAATAAAGCTGACTAAATCTTGAGACAAAAAATGGAGATCTTCAAGAAAAGAAACAGACACCTCCAAATACACATAACATACAGTATTTTTTTAGGTTCCATACTGGACAAGATTACCGGATGATGATGCACTTTGAGCCAGAAACAATATGCACTGCTATATCTATATATGATATATAAAGTATAAATGATATCTGTATTTCACTAATTCTACATTAAATTATTACTTTGGTGTATATAAAACCATTAGCTCTGTGATAATTCATTTTGATACCAACCTGGCTCTGCTCAGAAGCACCAGCAGTTCTCTTATTTGGTCTCAGGTTTTCTCTTCTCATTATGCCAATGGTTCTGAGAAGTTTGTTCCCTTTTATATAAGATTCACAAGAAATATAAACCATATAGAGCATGATCAGTTCAATAGCAGTTCAGTAGGGTAATTATTATTCGTATGATCACGACTGTAAGGTAGGTATAAAGATAGGATATGTCATTAAGGGAAATTACATCTTCAAAAGTTAGTAAACTGCAGCCTTATGCAGGAGTTTTTACTAAACCTTGTATCAAACAGTGTAAATAAAACAGTGTAATTTGTACAATTACTGCTGGAATGGAAGTTTTCTTGCAACTGTTGGCAGAAAACATCCAAATGATAATAACAGCTTTCTGTACAAAAATATTTTCACAGTTCTTTCAAACTTTTTCCCCAACATCCCTTGCAGAGCATGACAATAACACATGATTCTAATTAACACAAAAACAATGAAACATATCACTATGGCCAGCATGAGTAATGAAGATTGCTAAATTATCAGCATGGCTGAAGGTGGTCTGCCTATGAGACAATATACCCAGAGATAGAGTACTGCTTCAACAATCGGCAAACAAACCCAAATAAACCAAAAAAAACAGCTCTGCAAGGGATAGGTCACATCATGGAGAACAGAAAGTTACTTCATCATCTCTGGACCGTCATTTCTATCCTAATCACACATGTAACAATCTTCTTACTGCAGAGTCAATAGCACAAGAAATTCCAGGAAGAAATGGCCCACGCAGAAAGACACATTTGCTGTAAACATGCTTGGAAGCTGTGCTAGGCTGAAAGATGAATTTACCCTATTCTGTAGGCCAAAGAATGTTTGAAGCTGAGTCTTAAGTACAATATCTGGTTAATCTCTTAACAGATCTTAACAGACCTAAAGTGATCAGGTTGTGGTTGGGTGTTATGCTGACTGTTGCATTATTCAAGCCAGCCACCTGGGCTATGTTATGATTTGGTTGAGAAACTATTCTAAAACAATAAGGCCTTAGGCCTTCCTTTTCAGCTTTCTTTCCTAGCCTGGTCTAAAATAACATCTGTGTGACCCATTCGCCAATGCAATCACTAGCAGTCAACCACAAGCCGGCAACAGCTGCACAGGGTGAGTAGTGAAATATTCCACAACAGTGTGTCAAGAGACTGTGTAGCAGTGCTGCCAAGACTGCATTAGGTAGGTAACACCCAATACTGTTTTTGTAATTCTTCCATTTTGCCACTGTCTTATGTTTCATACTGAAACATATTAGACCTCTTGACATCTAGAGACAATTCTCTACTTCATTTGTATTTTCATTCACATTTTGAGTGATATCGTATTCATGTTTATATAAAGTGAATACATTAATTAGACCTGTATGTTATGATTCTTTTGTGCATCATTATAAAATACCACGTCAATATAATGGAATCATCCTCTGTGATTACATTTTTATACATGAAATGATGTAGTAAATGCCAATATCACACTCATTATATGTAATGGGAGTCATGAAACAAAGTCATCAAAGTTTTAAATAGCAATGCGGACACTGAATTATTATTGTTTTTAATGGGTAATTCTCACACAAACACGTTAAGAGATGTTTCCTTAACGTCTCTTCCGCTTTGGAATAAAATTAGGAAAGTAGTGTGCCTTAATATTTTTGCAGTTCAAGTGAGTTAGCTCTTTAAAGATACTACTGCCAAATTTGCACAAAACATTTTTTATAGTAATATAATTCTCCTATATGAGATGTTGACTTAAGTTTTATATTTCAGTATCAATGGCAGTACTAATTAAGTCAGGCCATTAGACAACTCTTCAGAGTACTAAGCAAAAAAGTGTCTATAGGAAAATTAACACTAAATCCATGCAAGTCATATAAAGAATTACAGTATTAAACTGTATTGTTCTGCAATATTCCAAATTAAGATATTTTAAAAAAAGAGCAACTAACCTTTTGATTTTTGTTCACACAGGTTTTTTGGATGAGATTCATTCCCATTACTTTTAGCCATAAATAAGTATTCATGTCCATTATACACTGACGTCGTACTGAGAGGCATTTTTGTATTTTTAGCACAGACATCACTGGTGGTTTCCTCTGTAACATATTCATAGGAAACAAAGATGTGCAACGTTGTGCAGGATCCCTTAGTTGTAAAATTATACAAAGCAATGCAAAAACAAAATGGAAACCTTTGATTTTTCATGTCTATTTCCTGCCTAAAAAGTATTATCCATTCATCGATTTTCTGACTTCTTTTCCCAATACAGGATCACAGGAGAGCTGGAGCTTAGCTATGGGCACAAAGTAGGATTCATCTGTTATGGGAATCCAGTCCATCACAGGACAGACACACAAACACACACCAGGGCCAATTTTCCCAGAACCCAACTAACCCACAATGGCTATCAAAAACGTTCAAAAATTGTGATTTTTTCTAGTGATCGACATGAAGTACTGTACAACATCAAAGTGACAGCAAAATTGTCATGTCCAGTCCATCGCAGGGCAAGTCGAGCCAATCATACTTGGGGACAATTTGGAGGCTACGGTAAAGGCCGAGGGGGGAAATCTTGCCAGCACCCCCTAGTCTTATCGAGAAATGGCCGGGGATCTTTAATGACCACTGAGAGTCAGGACCTCGGTTTAACGTTTCATCCGAATGATTGTGCCCACTACAGTATAGTGTAATAAACCTTTACTTGTTCCTTTGCAGCCTATGCATGCTGATGCAGCTACCTACTTGAACTAAAACAAAAAATAACTGATTGATAAAATAATCACCCCCTTTACTATGAGACCTACAGTAAATAGGCAGAGCAACCACTTCTCTTTAGAATTGACATACCTTGTACTTGGTCAAGTGATGCAATACAGGTGTTGATATCATTGTGGGTTTCCATCTTTTGATGTTTGGAGTTAGAAAGCAAAGAGTTGCCATGATTCTGTATTACATTTTTCAGACCTTGGCCAAGAAAATGAAATAATGTTAACTTTCTTTTATTTATCAGAGTCTGATAGGGTGTAAATAAAAGTGAAGCCATTAAAAGGAGAAGCAGGCTTGTTCGAGTTACTAATTAAAAAGAAAAGTAGCTTTTTTTTATTTTGAGCTCAGTTTCCTTTGGAAATGATCAATATTAGTCTGTTGCTTCTTGTGTTTGTAATTGCTCTGTCTTTGAAACTTCTACTTTTGTTTAAAAGTCTACCTTTACTCCCCTCACAGCTGTCAAGATTTCCTGTACAGTGAAATGGCTGGACCACACTATTCAGTAGCGACCCTTCTACTTGCTGCAAAGCACTGATGAGGTCAATACTAGATGACGATCTGAACAACATTTAAAAAAAAGAACACCGAATTTCATTAAATACAGAAATAAAGAACAATTAAAGGTCTTGGGTTTTCAAATTAAAAGCAAAATCATTATGTAGGTACAAACTTCTAACCACAGAAGTGTTCTCATTTCCATTGTATTATGTTTTGCCTATCAAAGGCTTACCTCTAGCATCCATTGTAATGTTTACCACACTGCTGAAATACCTGTCCTCATAAATCCAGCTCAAATTACTTAACATAGCTGTGGCATAAAATGTAAAAATATTTCCCATATTACAAACATAAACATATATCATTATATTAACACATATTTTGGGAATTTAATGTAATAACAGAAATGAAGCCATATTTGACAATGCACAGCTTTGCAGGTTATATTTACTACAATTAAGATATGGCTATATAATGTAGTACTAATATTTCACAGTACCTTAACATCAAGTGTTGCATATACAATGTAACATAATAACTTAATGCATATATAATAACTATAAGATGAAAACTGTTTTTCTTTGAACATTAGAATTGCCTTCTGAGTAAATTGTCTTCATTTTTCAACGACCAACTATACGTCTTTGATGAACAGTCAGGCACCTAGTCTTCAAAATAAAAACCTACCTTCCTTTAAATAATTTATAATTTATAATTTTATATATTGAACAATCAAAATCGCGTTGTTTTTTTCTTCAAATTAGGGATTTTAAAAAAATATGCGTATACAACACATAAGCGAGGAGCCCTACATTGCTTTAAATTTGAATATATACCACACACGACACATCCGATTAAAAACAATACTGTATAAAAAGCTACCTGGTTTGGTTTAAGGATGTCTGTTGTTTTTCAGTATTTTGGTCTGATACGCTGCTACAGGCTGCTTTTTCGTTCTGGATGCCTTCATCCATATCCCACGAGATTACACTCTCAGAGCCACTGTCCTTTGAAGAACAACACTTAAAATAAATTACACTTAAAAAAAGAGAAAACAGAAAAAAGTTATTAAGAAAACCGCACCAATACACAATTAGGCTTAAATGCGAATAACCATTCATTCGTTTTTACCTTAAATTTACCTGCTTGTTGTAGTGTTTGACAGACTTTACTTACCATTTTGGATTAAGCAAATTAAACACGTTTCCGTTTTTGTTCAATCTGTAAAATCCCAAACAGCTGATTTAAAAAATCTTTCCCGCAGTCCACAGCTGCTGCAAGCCATGCAAATATTATAAAAACTAAAATAATACCGACTGCAAATGCGATTACTAGTATTTCAACAGTAAAATCTATGCTCATATTACGTTTGATAACTCTAAATTAACGGTATATTGCCAATGTTCATTGCATCTATTTGGAATTAAACATCAAATGGAATTTGGAAACTTGTAACAAAATAAAAAACACATCACTCGGTAATTTGATGTTGGTTGCTATAGAAACTACCTAAAACATGAAAGAGAGTTTTTCAAATAGAGGCCTTAAAGTGTTGGTATGTTTTAAGTGAAAAAGGACAAAAACAAAAAATGTATCTGTTTGCGGTATAAATATTTCAGTAAGACAGCATTACCACAGTCCGGTAAATGTAATAAAATTGTAGCAGTTTAATGAACGTTGATATTCACTAATGACAGAATATCAGAGAAAAAGTTTAGTACAATTTACTGGCGTTATTTTATCGTGAACTTTTGTCCAGAATCCAAACGTTTAACTTCGTCTTTACTGCCATCTAGTGAACGATAGAGAACCTATCTCTCAATAATGTTTTAATAAAAATGATTGTAATTGTCCTATGATGTGTTTGTACTGTAAATGTCTGTAGATGTTGTGTTGATTGTATACGCTTTGGCAGCAGTGTAATTCATCCTTCATGCCTATAAAGCTCTTTGAATTGAATACGGGTAGGCAATACCTACGAGTAGGCAATTTCTCAAAATACTCTTCATTCTTTGAAACTCTCATAACCTCACATTTTGACCAGGTGATATTATTGGGAACCGATCGTTGTTGTTGTTGTTAATAATAATAATAATAATAATAATAATAATAATAATAAT